TATGTTCTTTGCAGCCGATTCACAATAGCAAAGACATGCAATCAACCCAAATACCTATCAATGATAGACTGGATAAGGAAAATGTAGTACATATATACCATGAAATACTATGCAACCATAAAAAGGAATGAGATCATGTCCTTTGTAGGGATAGCCTTTGCATGGATGGAGCTGGAAGTCATTATCCTCAGCAAACTAATGCAGGAATAGACAATCAAACACTGCATGTTCTCACTCATAAGTGGGAGCTGAACAATGAGAACATAATGGACACAGGGAGGGGAACAACACACACTGGGGTCTGTCATGGGGGTGGTGGGAGGGAGAGAATCAGCTAACGCATTCTGAGCTTAATTCTTAGGTGATGGGTTGATATGTGCAGCAGACAACCATGACACATGTTTAACTATGTAACAAACCTGCACATCCTGTACATGTACCCTGGAACTTAAAATAAATTACAATTTAATGAAAAAACTATGTTCATGTGATGTATCACATTTATTTACTTGTGAATGTTAAGCCATTCCTACATCCCTGGTATGAAACCCACTTGATCATGATGTATTGTCTTTTTGATGTGCAGTTAGATCAGTTGTCTAGCATTTTGTTGAAGATTTTCACATTTATGTTCATCATGGATAATGGTTTGTAGTTTTCTTATTTTGTTACGTCCTTTCCTGGTTTTGGTATTAGAGTGATACTGGCTTCCTAGAATGATTTAGGGAAGATTCCTTCTTTCTCAATCTTTTGCAATAGTTTCAGCAGAATTGGCACCAATTCTTCTTTGAATGTGTGGTAGAAATCAGATGTAAATCCATCTGGTCCTGGGTTTTTGTTGTTGTTGTTGTGACAATTTTAAAATTATTGATTAAATCTCTCTGTTGGTTATTGGTCTATTCAGTGTTTCTATTTCTTCCTGATTTAATCTAGGAGGGTTGTATGTTTCCAGGAATTTATCCATGTCCTCTAGATTTTTTTAGCTTTTGTGCATAGAGGTGTTTATAGTAGTCTCAAATTATCTTTTGTATTTCCGTGGTATTGACTGTAATGTCTCCAGTTTCATTTCTAATTGAGCTTATTTGGATTTTCTCTCTTCTTTTCATGGTTAATCTCACTAATGGTATATCAATTTTGTTTATCTTTTCGAAGAACTAGCTTTTAAAAATATCTTTTGTATTTTTCAGTTTCAATTTAGTTCTGCTCTGATTTTGTTATTTCTTTTCTTCTGAATTTGGGCTTGGTTTGTTTCTATTTCTCTAGTTCCTCGAAGTGTGACAATAGGTTGTCAGTTTGTACTCTTTCAGGCTTTCTAATGTAGGCATTTAATGCTAAGAACTTTCCTCTTAGCACTGCTTTTGCCCATATACCAGATGTTATAACTTGTGTCACTATTATCATTCACTTCAAACAATTTTTAAATGTCCATCTTGATTTTATTGTCAACTCAAAAATCATTCAGGAACAGATTATTTAATTTCTAGGTATAGTTTTGAGGCTTCCTTTTGGAGTTGATTTCAAGTTTTATTCCACTGTGGCCTGAGAAGATACTTGATATGATTTTTGTTTTCTTAAACTTATTGAGACTTGTGTTGTGGCCTATTATATGATCCATCCTGGAGAATGTTCCATGTGCTGATGAGATTTTATATTCTGCAGTTGTTGGGTAGAATATTCTGTAAATATCTGTTAAGTTCATATGTTCTAGAGTGTTATTTAAGTCCACTGGACTTGGTGGAGGAAGGTAGGAGGGAGGTGAGGGATAAAAGACTACATATTGGGTACAGTGTACACTGCTTTGGTGATGAGTGCACAAAAACCTAGAATTTACCACTATAGAGTGTATCTATGTACCCCAAACCCACTTGGACCTCAAAAGCTATTGAAATTTTAAAAAACTAAGAACAGAAATTTATTTCTCACAATTCTGGAAATTGGGAACCCCAAGGTCAAGGCAGATTTGTATCTGGTGGAGGCCCATTTTCTGGTTCATGGACGGTGACTACTAGCTGTGTCCTTACATGACAAAAGGGGTTAGAACTTTCTTGGGTTTATTTTGTAAAGGCACAAATCTCATTCATGCAGGTCGTGCCTTCATAACCGAATGACCTCTCCAAAGACCCCATGTTCTAATACCATCAACTTGACAGACAGGATTTCAACATATGAACTGAGAGGGGACACAAACATTCAGACCATAGCACTTAGAAACCCCATTTCTGTGTATACATCCTAGAGAAACTATTTCACACAGGCAACAGAAGACACATACGAGAATATTCAAAGAAATATTGCTGTAAAAATAAAAATAATTGGAAAAATCTAAATATATTTTAATAGTAGAACAAATTAATACATTATGATATATTCATAGGAGTCAACACTATGGAATAAAAATGAATTAAATACAACTGGGCACAACATGGGTGAATAAGGAACATGATATTTAGTAAACAAATTCAGATGCAAATGAGTGTATACTTATAATTCCATTTATATAAGCTTCAAAAAAGTGGTAAAGCTAAACTCCAGTGTTTAGGGATGAATGCTTATGTGATAACCTACAAAGAAAAGCAATGTAATGCATACCACAAAGGCTAGGAGAGCAGATACATTGTATAGAAGGGCCTGACAAACATGGGGTGCAAACAACATTCTATTTCGTAAGCTAGGTGGTGGATACACAAGTGTTTACTGTATTGTTACTCTTTAAAATATACATGTATGTTCTATATTTTCATATCATATATCATATATATAATAAACATGCTTTACCCTCACCAAAAACAATCAATGTCAATGGATTTATTATTCTGGGTCTTTTGTATAAGTAAACTGGTAACTGAAATGTTAGAACAAATAACCTCAGAGACCATCCTTTGAACCCCATGGTTGATATTTGATGATTATTCCTTCAGGGTAATGATGTACATCAGAGGATCTAAACTTAAGTTCTGCCCTTACATGGCCTTCAGTACAGAAGGTCTCTTGAACACTGTTATTCTACCCTCTCTTCTATATTAAATTGTGGAACAAATGACAGAGTCACAGAAAGCTCCAGGAGCAAGTAGTAACATTAGTCTGGGCCAATTCTGGAGAAGAATGAAAGTCCCTGTGTATGTACCAAGAAAAGACAGGGAAAAATCAAGGAGATGGTAAAGAAAAACAGATGAGAAAACTTGATTTTCAAATTGTTCTGTGGCCCAGATGTTGAACATATTCTACTGTTTTAGATAAATAACTTATTCTACAGCAGTAAATAATATATTACGTTGATTTTTTTTCTTAGTAATATGTTCTCTTCACTCTACCATTTTACTTTTCAATTTCCATTAGTTTTAGATATTGTTTATTGCAATGTCATTAGATTGAGATGTTAGATATAAAGGCATGTTGTAACTCACAAAGTATAATACGAAGGGTACAACATAGTACTTGGTACCATGAAAGCACCTGTTCGAATTTACCAATCCTCCTTTGCACAGTTTCATGAAGGAAATGGTTTTGGCTAATAAAATTCAGGCAAATTTAGATTTTAAAAAATCAAAATTACATGTCAATCCTTATATTTATAAATATCCTAAAAGATATCTTAATAATATGTTTAATAATACTTTAATAATAAAAATACATTAATAATAGCTGGAGAATAAAGGAGGACATTTTTACCTTTAATACTAAAAGCTAATCTAGACTTTTCTAGATATTAATTTTAAATCATGCAGAGCAGGTATTTTGCTGTGTTTCAGCCCAATTCTTGACAGAAACTGCAAATTTCCTATAATCTAGAATTTTCATTATTTATTTAGCTTAAACTATGCTGGAAAAATAAATAATCAAACAATCTGCAGGATAAATGAATGGGTCCACTTGAAAAACCACAAAGTAGGATGTCAATGTAACAGAACTTAGAGTGAGCTCTAGATAAATGACCATTTATTAAGCCCTTAAAAATGGCCTCTTAAAGGAATGGACACCAAATTCCAAAAGTACTCAATTATTCAGGGCAATTTCTTAATTAGGATGACTAGAAACTTTAAACCACCATGACAATAAGCTCTATTTGGCTTCAGACACCTGCTAATATTTGTTCACAGATCTTTCTTTTTTTTTTTTTTTTTAGACGGAGTCTCGCTCTGTCGCCCAGGCTGGAGTGCAGTGGCGCGATCTCGGCTCACTGCAAGCTCCGCCTCCCGGGTTCACGCCATTCTCCTGCCTCAGCCTCCCGAGTAGCTGGGACTACAGGCGCCCGCCACCACGCCCGGCTAGTTTTTTGTATTTTGTAGTAGAGATGGGGTTTCACCGTGTTAGCCAGGATGGTCTCGATCTCCTGACCTGGTGATCCACCCGTCTCGGTCTCCCAAAGTGCTGGGATTACAGGCTTGAGCCACCGCGCCCGGCCCACAGATCTTTCTTTAGCTGTGTCATCTACTACTATGATTACTCTACTGATCCCGTTACTGTAATGGCTGCTACTACTGATGTCACGGTTCTGATCTGTTGAGCACTTACCCTATTCTAAGTTTTATATGTGTAGACTTAAACCAAGCAGATGAGCCATTAACAGCAGTATCACCTCTTAGGTAGAGTTGGTCACTCATCATTGCATAGACGATGAAAATTGTGTACATTCTAAATCACCCTTGACAGCTAAGCTGTGGGTATGCAAAGGCATATGGAGTAGTATAATAGACATTGAAGACTCAGAAGTGGGGATGGTGGGATGGGGATGAGGGATAAAAAACTATATATTGGATAAAATGTATACTATTCAGGTGACAGGTACACTAAAATGTCAGACTTCACCACTATACCATCATCTATGTAACCAAAACAACTTGTACCCTAAAAGCTATTGAAATTATATACATATATATAAAACAAGCCAAAAAACCCACAAAATTCCTCTTGAAATTTCTTTAAATCACCCACTTAATATAGATAACATCTTTGTCTACTGACCCATTTCATTTAATAAATCAACAAAGCGAGTTTTCCCCTGCAGTGTTGGAACACATCACTCTTTAGTTACATGAGGTGGCAGGATAATTTGGAGGCAGGGGCAATGTGTACAAGTTGACTGTAAATATCTTGTGGTCTCTATTTTTTTAAAAACACGTAGTACTATTTAATAAGTAGTGAAATAAACTCAACCCTTTCTCTTCACAGTGGATTCTTTCTGTAAAATATAAATTTTATTAGAAAGCTATTAGTTTGTGTTTTAGGGAACTTGTTAAGCTTACATGTTAAGCTTAAAAGTAAAGAGCACACACATCCCTATCATGTGAGGGCTGAAACAGCTGACTTGTTAGCTTACATTATGACTCAAGTCAAGATCTCAGGCATTAATTTGGATGGCTGGAGACCCTGAGATTTAAATCAGTGATTAATGAGTCTTTAAACGGCTGGCTGCTTATGTGTAACCCCCAAGGCTGGTATTATCTTATTTATTTTTAAACACACTTCAACAAGACAGTATATCTTGCAGAGAATGCTTTGTAAAGAGAGAAATTACACTCATGGAACATTTAGAATATTGATTACCCATTCCCATCCCAGTGTTCTCATAATAATTATTTAGTGATGTTTTAAAAGGTACAAGATTATGTATGCTTTATAGACAATAACTTTGGATACATTTCAGTCCACAAAGAACCTTTAAGTTCTGTTTTTCTTAAGACTAACAGGGGAGAATAGCATTGAGTTCTGGCTATAAAATAAATAAAAAATAATATTCTCTTTTCTTGGAACATTGTTAGTTTTGCTTGTGTTTCTTGTTTATAGTCTATTTTGACCAAAGGCTTTCTTCAAGCCACCACATCTTTGAAGTATTCTCCTATTGAATAATACTCAGAGCAACTGAGATTTATGGAGCAATTTTAACTTTTGCAAACATTTCTGCAACAGTACCAAGTGTATCCTCCCTCCAGTAAAATATGATTTTCCTTATTTTACTGATGCAAAACATGATTAAGCAGGGATTTAGTGGCATATTTAAGGTTTCCAGCTATCCAGGATCTGTTAGGAACCAGAACCCACATCTTCTAGTTTTTAATTCTGTGCTCCTTCAGTTAAGCTGAGCCCTGACACTAACTGGTTGAAAAGTTCATCTTCAAGTTTCTGAATTTGTCAGGAAAAATCTCATGAGATATTCTTTGTTCAGTTCTGAACTCATATCCAATAGCTTATTGGCATCTCTATTTGGTGAATAAACATCTTACTTTTTTGTCATTGTTCCTTGTAGCTTTTTAAAATACAGGCTTATTGAGATATAATTGACTCACTGCACATATTTAAATTTGCAAGGGGATGGACTGTAGTCTGTGTATACATCCATGAAACCAACAGCACAATTGAAGTGATGAACATATCCATACCTCCCCAAAATTTCATGGTGGACTTTGTAATCTATCTCACATATCCCAAGCAGAACTTTGTATTTTAAACTCTAAACATGTTTCTACCTTAGCTGCCCCTATTGTAGCAGACTGGACTGCCATCCATCCTGTTGCTAAACCCAATGCCCTACTCCCCCATACATGCTATCTATTAGCAAGTCCTAGATACTGAATCCATCTACATCTCTTCATCTTTCTGGCCACCTCCCTAGTCCAGGTCACTTGGTCTCTACAATTTGGCTACATAAAAGGTCTGCATGTTTCCATTCTTACTGGATGCAATTCATTCTTAATATGGTACCTACAGTTATCTGTTAAAAATACAAATCCAATTAAGTCACTTCCTTGCTTGAAAGCCTCCCAATAGCTTTCAGCTGCCTCTGGAATACAATGCATTCTCCTCATCATGCCTTACCAGCTCAGCTGTCATCAGCTGCTACCAACCTCTCTCATTGCCATCTCCTTCCACTGTACTTCTTCCACTGTTCTACTCACTGCATGCCAACATCTCCTCCATCCAGCTTCTAGAACAAGAAAAGCATATTCTTGCCACCATATCTTTGTATCTGCTCTTGTCTCTGCCTGAAACATTATCAAGTTTTATGTAGGCTACCTCCTTCTCATCATTCTTCTCTCAGCTCAAATGTCATTTCTTTGAAAGAGTCTTCTCAGACCTCACTATCTCTCCTCCCCATCTCCAAAGCATTCTCCGTCCTACTTTTTAATAGCACTTCTAGTGTTTGGAATTGTTTGTTTCCATGGGTTTAATAACTGGCTCTTCCACTGGAATATAAACTTGAGAACTCTGATTCACTCTATTATTCTATACCTGAAACATTCTAACAGCATTTCACGCATTACCTCATTTCATCTTCATAACATACCTATGAGAAAGGACAATTATCATTATCATTTTAAGTCAAGGAAACGGAGGCTCAGAAATTTGAAATAATTTGTTCAATATCATATAGCAAAGAAAGAGTGAACCCAGGTTGCCTCACTTTAACCTGTCTGCATGCTGCTCAAACAAATGAATTTCTGTACTCTCTCTATTCTGTACTCACTCTATTAGACAATACTCATGACACCTGGATTGAAATCCCGATTGTGTATCTCTGGATAAGTGCTGAACTTAACCTCTCTAATTTGGCTTCCTCACATGAAAAATAGGGATAATGCAGAAAATAACTCAGATGATAATCATGAAGTTAAATTAGTGCAGGTCACTGATTCTCAAAGGGTGGTCTCTGGACCAGCAGTATCAGCATCACTTGGGAAGTTATTTTTAAAGTGCAATTTTTTGGCCCTACTGCACAGCTACCAGATCAGAAACTCTAGGGGTGAGGCTCAGCAATTTATAGTTTAATCTATCCTCCAGGTGATTTTGATGCACACTAAATGTGGAGAATTACTGGTAAGTAAACCTTTTAGTGTCTGGCACAGAATAAGTGAACATAAAAAGGGCTAGTATTAACACAGCCACGTATAGTCCAACAATGTTCTTTTTAGCAGGACAACTTCTTATTAGGTCTGTCTGTCACATTTCAGCATGTTTAACATTCTTGGACTCTGGGCACTAAATATCAATTGCAACTCCTTCAAATTTTGTGACAAAAATATGCTTTCTATGCGTACCAAAAGCTTCCTGTTGGGGTGGGAGACTTAATACTGGCTCCAGTTAAGAACCATAGCTCACTAATCAGAATTACTCTCCAATACGTTTTCTTATTCAGGTTACAAATGGACTTCTGTCAAAGGGATACGTGGGTATGAATTGAAGGAATCTGAGTGGAAATGCAACACTGATATTTTGGATCTCCAGAACTTGCCTATAAGAAGAGTCATTTATTCAGGAGCTCCTGAATTTGCGTATAAGAAAGAGTCATTCTCTGCAGAGAATGCAAAGATGAGTCAGGAATGATTCTGCATGTAAAGCAATTGCAAAAATAATTCTGTCACATGGAACAGTAAATGTCTCTAGGAAATACCAACCAATATTGGAATTCTGAAACAGTGATAATGAGCAGTATAGTACAGGGAACTAGGAAAGACTGCTTGACAAAGATAGTATTTGAGATCATAGATAAATGCTTTGGGCCAAAGTAATTGTTATTTTCTCAGTTTAGTTGAAAGTGAATAATGATACTGTGCCCATTTTTATAGGTAACAATAGCATACATGTATGTGGATGAAAATGAGAGATACAAAGTAATTATGAGTGAAAGAAATCCTTGCAGAACTAACAATTCAGTGTTGTCCAAAACAAACCAATGGACAAAGGATTTGAAAATGCTAGTACCATCCTAACATTCTAATTGTTTTAAGCAAATTCTTATTGATAGAGATCTCCAGGACTGCCTATCAACCAGTGAGTAATTCCAATAGTCAATAAACAAATGCTGCCTCCCTCATTAGGGATGGAAATAGATGTTCCCATAGAATTTCAGAAGAGTTGTCAGACAAGCCAAATACTGTCAACTTTCAAATTTGTCATACTGCCCCTGGTTCTAGCCTCACTGCAGAAATCCCAGAGAAAGAGATGGTGGGATGTGAGGAATGGAGATAATCTGTGTCTCTTTGGAATGTTCTGGGGTCTACTTAAGACCAGCATGGCAAACATGTATAGTGACAACTCTAATCAATTGTTCATGGCTGTCTGAAAGGGTTGGTGAGGCTACAGTGATCAAGAAAAAATGTCATCATTAATTGGCCATAATTACCTTGAAAAAGTGGTAACCTGTGATAGGCAACAGTTTCTATGCAGTGGTAAAACATGTCTTATACTGTTCCAGAGGGGACATGATTTAATCAACAGTACAATTGAATCTGTATTGTATTGGGGGCACTTAATATTAGAATTTTGCTAAAATATTTGATTTCTATTTAGACACACAGATCTCTAAAAGATAGTTTTCTGTCTTGATTACCTGTTCTTTACTTCATTCTGAATCAGATTGGAAGTAGTAAGCTGTGCTTTATATGCTTGTTAGCTCATTCATTCATTCACTAATTCAGCCAGTCAGCCACTGCCCTGGTTATCTATTGCTGGGTAACACACGACTTCAAAACTTGGTGGATTGAAACAGCAACAATTGTCATTATCTCTTCCAGTTTCTGTGAGTCAGGAACCTTGGAAGGATTCAGCTGGGTGGCTCAGCTCAGGGTCCCTCTGTGGTTTCAAGTCAGATGGTGGCTGGGAGAGTGTGGGGCTGAAGCAGCTGGGGGTTGGATGGGCAGCTCACTATCTTCATGTAGTTCCTTGGCCTCTGTACGTGGGTTAATCTGGACTCCAAAGGCAAGATGTACCACCTTTTATGACCTAGCTTCTGAAGCTAGGCAATACAGGTTGAGCATCCCTAATCTGGAAATCTGAAATCCAACATGCTCCCAAGGCTGACTGCTGACAGGAAGTCACAAGTGGAAAATTTCACACTTGACCCCATGTGACAGGCCTCAGTCACAAAGCAGTTTATTCTGTGCTTCCAAGGGAACAAAGACCCTTGGAACTCTCCTCAGCTATGATGTACGTTTGTTGCACACGTCCAGATTCTCCCATGCAAGCAACTAGACTGTCCACTTAGGTGGCTGATAGTGACATATTTACTTTCTGATGGCTCAGTGTATACAAACTTAGTTTCATGCAAAAAAAATATTTAAAATATGATCTAAAATACCTTCAGGCTATGTATATAAACTGTATATAAAACATAAATGAATTTTATGTTTAGGCTTGTGTCCCATCTCCAAGATATCTCATTATGTATATGAAAATATTCCACACTCCAAAAAAAAATTAAAAATCCGAAACACTTCTGTCCCAAGAATTTCAGAATAGGGATACTTAGTGCCTGTATCACTTCTACTACACACTACTGATTATAAGCTAGTCATAAGTCTACCCACCCAAGGTGGAGAAATGGGGAAGTAGTCTGCACCTCTTTATGGGGATGTAACTAGGGTTTAGAAAACACATGGGCTAGGAGATGATGTTGCCATCTTGGAAAAATATGATCAGCTGATTAGCCAGAATCACAAACATTTGTTGGGAGCCTCTTAGGTGCTAGGCTGCACATACTCCGGGAATACAGTGAAGAGGAGAGACCATGTCCTTGCTCCTGAGGGGCATATATTCTACTGAGAATGAGTGAGGAGATAAACAAGTAGTAAATAAACAGGAAAGATAAGATTGGATTGTGATAAGTGCTATGAAGAATGTTAAATAAAACAGAATAGCTGGGGTTTGGAGATCTTTAGATAAGGTGGTCATGACAGGTCTCTCTCTCTTTTTTTCTTCAGTATCTATTTTATTTATTTATTTTTTATTATTATACTTTAAGTTCTGGGGTACACGTGCAGAACATGCAGGTTAGTTATATAGGTATACATGTGCCATGTTGGGTTGCTGCGCCCATCAACTCATCATTTACATTAGGTATTTCTCCTAATGCTATCCCTCCCCGAGGCCCCCATCCCCTGACACGCCCCAGTGTGTGATGTTCACCTCCCTGTGTCCATGTGTTCTCATTGTTCAACTCCCACTTATGAGTGAGAACATGTGGTGTTTGGTTTTGTTCTTGTGTTACTTTGCTGAGAATGATGGTTTCAGTTTCATCTATGTCCCCGCAAAGGACATGAACTCATCCTTTTTTATGGCTGCATAGTATTCCATAATGTATATGTGCCACATTTGCTTTATCTAGTGTATCATTGATGGGCATTTAGGTTGGTTCCAAGTCTTTGCTATTGTGAACAGTGCTGCAATAAACATACGTGTGCATGTGTCTTTATAGTACAATGATTTATAATCTTTTGGGTATATACCCAGTAATGGGATTGCTGAGTCAAATGGTATTTGTAGTTCTAGATACCTGAGGAGTCGCCACATGGTCTTCCACAATGGTTGAACTAATTTATACTCCTATCAACAGTGTAAAAGCGTTCCTATTTCTCCACAGCTTCTCCAGCATCTGTTGTTTCCTGACTTTTTGATGATTGCCATTCTAACTGGTGTGAGATGGTATCTCATTGTGGTTTTGATTTGCATTTCTCTAATGGACAGTCTCTTTTAATTAAAGAACTTAATGATGAGAAGAAAACAGCCAGGGGAACAGAGTTCCAGGTGGATGGAAGAGCAAAAATACAGCATGTGAGGTAAGAATGAGGTTGGCCCATTTGAGAAACAGCAGAGGGCCTGGTGGCAGGAGTGCAGTGGGCAAGGAGGAAGGTGGCATGAGATGAAGTCTGAGAAGTAAGCTGGGGACAGAGCATAGAGTTTTGAGGCTAAGAAGCATGGATTTTGTTTCAGTTCTCCTGAAAGTTCCATAAAGGGAGACACTCTGCTTATTCACTCTTAGAACTCCAGTGCCCAGAAGCCTATCTAACACACATCTGGCATTCACGTGAGCTCTGCTGAATAGAGAATGACTGAATGTACCTCAAACCTTAAGTTGCCACCTGACCACATCCCACAGCAAGCTCTACATCATAAGGACATGTTCCATGGAGACAGAGTGGTTGAGATCTCACTTAAACTCTTTAGCTTAGGACTGGCTGGGCTACTTAACTGCATCTATTACCACCTAAATGAAGACACATAACAGGGAGCTAATTATAACGTGTCTTGCCCTGCTCTTGAATAATTAAATGTTTTATTGTGATGTTACAATTTGAATTTATTATCCTTTGCTGGGGAACAAAATTAAACATAATGAGGGCTGTTAGTCTCTTCTCAGTTCTGCCTGTATCCTGTACCTTATATCATTTTTACCACTTTGATTAATGGGTTTAATTTACTTTGACTGGGATATGTAGGAATCAGTAGGTGGGGGGAAGGTGAGACTGTTAAAAATCCTTTTAATTAGACTAATAATACCAAATCTGCATGTGTTAATAAGGGTGCACTATTAATTAGCTTTCGTAGATGGCTTCTGGAAAGGTAGCAGAGTAGCTTTGAAATATCCTTTGTGATACCAGGAAATCTATTAAGTTGACAGGCAAAGCATGACATTACATATTTCCTCAAATAAAAAGCCTTTCATCTCTGAAGACGTAGAGAATCTCACATGACAGACCTATCCCTAGTTTGTTGTGTGGGACGTCTTTTATGGACCCTCCAAGTTCACTATTGCCCCTTCTTGGCTCTGCTCTCTGTCCTAGTGCTGACCTACATGGACCGTATCAGCAGGGTTTCTCTGTGCTCTGTCTGCTGTTTGTATTTGGCCAAAAGAAGCCCCAGCAGGAGATCTGGGTATTGAATCTCTGACTTCCCCACTTTGAGATCACCAGATTTGTCTCCAAAGCTGGCTATGTCCCTTGACCCAAACTCATTGCTCCTCAAGACAACTTTCTCTATACAACTCTCTCTCTGCATTCTGCTAACATCTTCCCACTTTTGTTCTCTTCAGGCCTAGGGGAGTTCATAGATCTCCCATCATTCCTTGGCCCAGATAGTCCTTGCACTACCTCCCACTTCCTACTTTCATCTTTGTAAATAGTTCCATTGAAAACAGATCCTCCTGGCAAAGTGACCCTCCTTGGGAGGCCAAGGTGGGTGGATCACTTGAGGCCAGGAGTTTGAAACCAGCCTGGGCAACATGGTGAAACCCCATCTCCACTAAAAATAAAAAAATTAGCTGGACATGGTGGTGCAAGCCTGTAATCCCAGCTACTCAGGAGGCTGAGGCTGGCACCCAAGAGGTGGAGGTTGCAGTGAGCTGAGATCGCACCACTGCACTCCAGCCTGGGCAACAGAGTGAGACTCTGTCTTAAAAAAAAAAAAAAATCAAGGAAAGAAAAGAAAAACAGAAAATTGATCCTCTTTGAAATAGCCTGCTTTGAGAGTGCTTTTTCCTTCTGGGACCCTGATTGATGCCCCCTTGCTATGCCAACATTTGATTAATTTTATTATGTTTTAATTTTGTACATATTTCATTAAAATTAACTGCATCATTTGAATAGAGCTTTATGTTTTATTTGTGAAGTGAGATTGGATCATATGTACAGAGTTGTGCATTTTCACATACAAGATTTCTGTGTTGCCAATATTTGTTTTAATAAGAAATCAAGAACGCTTTTCAGCAGGGGTGGAGGTGATACCATCTTCAAATGCTAAAATAAGTGCTTTCAATAATATACCATTTTTTAAAAATAAAAATTTCCCTACATGTATTAAATAAATATCTCAATTTGACCAACAAATTTGCTCTTGGGTCATTATTTGTAAAAGATCACATCAGGTGTTTTCTATGAGAGGAGTGCACAGGCTGGAATGTTTATGTGAAGAAGTAGATATTAGAAATCTGTAGTAGATAGGCCAGGCACGGTGGCTCACACACATAATTCCAGCCCTTTGGGAGGCCGAGGCAAGTGGATCACTTGAGATCAGGAATTCAAGACCAGTCTGGGCAATATGGTGAAACCCCATCTCTAAAATAATTAAAAGATTAGCCAGGTGTGGTGGCATGCTCCTGCAGTTCCAGTTACTTGGGAGGCTGAGGTGGGAGGATCACTTGAGCCTGGGAGGTTGGGGCTGAGGCTGCAGTGAGCTGTGATCATGCCACCACTGTACTCCAGCCTTCTAGCCTAAGTGAAAGAGTAAAACCTTGTCTCAAATAAATAAATAAATAAACAAACAAACAAATAAATAAATAAATATATAATAAAAATAAAAGAAACCTGTATGAATACAAAAATACATGTACTTCATGTGTATGCACATAAGACGTGCTTCAACATTTTTGAAGCTCCAATTATTTGAGGAGAAACATGGGATGAAACGTTTCAGCAGCCACTTCTCAAAGTTTGTCACATTTTTAAGTTTGCCAGCCTGAGGCTGGCGTCTGGATCTCTATGGAGAGAATCATTCTTAGAGGCCTTAGTTTCCTTCGCTTGCCTTCACTTCCATTCCCACACACCTTCTCCTACCCCTAAGAGATTTCAAAACGTACTGAGTGCCTCAGCTGGAGGATGATGGAGCCTGCTGGCCCATCCTGTATCCATTCTGCCTTAAAAACTTCGCTAACAGATTTTACTGGGAACAGAAATGGGATTGTCCACCTAAGTTTTAGCCACTGAGATGGGAGCAGTTGTTGCAGAGGGTTTCTGGAAAATATGCTTTTGAATTGTACCCCTTTCCCCTAGCCTTTCTACTTCCCACCTGGAAACTGGATGTGATAGCTGGAGCTCCAGGATTCACTTTATAATCATGGCCTTGCAAATGGATGCCATATCCTAAAATATAAAGGGCAGAAAAATGGAAAAATGCTGGGACACTAATGATGTCATGGACCTATAACAGCAGCCCCAAATGACCTACCACTGGCATTCATGTTATAGGACAGAAAAACAAATACCTTTCCTGTTTAAACCATTCTTCCTTGTCATTTAAAGAAATTTATAAATGATACCCAGAGCAAGCCACTATGGGTACCATTTGT